GTGCTTACGGAGTATTTGTATATAAAATAAATAAATAAAAGAAACGGGCGACAGTAGCAAGTTTTTACAATTTAACATCTCTGCCCGCTCCGCTCGTACATAAACGAAAATAATATGTAAATATATATAATAATTTTACGATTTTCGTTTGCGTTCGTCGTTTGGAACGGCTCATTTTGGCTCTCATTCATTTGTTCGCTCGTTCTCGCTCTCTTGTGCTCTGCAATCGCCTCATCGTTTCGTTCTCATACATCCACCCGCACGTGTGCGATATTCTCCGTTTTTCCTCGCTCCCTCTCACTCTCACCCGATCGATGAAAGCACACTTACTTTATAATACATACATATTTTCCATTTTCAACTTGCCCATATTTTCCATAGGTAGTTAAATTTTTCATGGCAAACGCATCTTCTGCTATTGGTTCCCTCAACCAATATACATAAGAGACACCAGAGCTTTACATCTTTATGCTCTAAAATTGTAACTTAAGTCACGTTGCCCGTTTCAACGTCGTCCGTACATACTGAGAAAGAGGGAGCACAGTCGGTATTTGGGTTGCAAATAAACATCATCCATTCCTTCGTTCACTCGGTATCGTTCGCTTGCTTGCTGACATACATACATACACATCAGCGCCCCAAACATGTTCATAGAGAGAGAGAGAGAGAGAGAGAGAGAGAGAGAGAGAGAGGGGGGGAGAGAGAGCAAGAGCGAACGATTCACCATCTCCATCCACACGGACCGGGAAAATATCTCGAGAATCTAGAGAGCTATCATTACATTTATTCAGCATCATCGTTGTCGCCTCCACTGCCGTTGCTGCTGCTGCCATCGCCGCCATCGAGCCAACGAAACAAGGGCGTATATTTGAATATTTTAAACTTTTGTATTACAAAAAGGGGGTGTGAATTTGTATAAAATGCAAAGAAATAAATGACGATGATGATTCATATGGAAAATTTTTTATGTGATCCATAGTACATTATGTGAATGTTATGTACTGTGGAGGTTGCCATTCGATAACAGCAGCAGCAGCAGCAGCAGGAGTATAAAAAGAGCGACATCAGTAGCAGCAGAAGCAGCATATCATCAAAATGTTTTGCGCATTCAGTCCGTTGGCCGTTCAGTTGTTCAATGGCTTCGAAAAATAAATGGTGTGCGAGCAAAGTTGTATACATAATAAAATGAAATATTCAGAATTTTCAAGGCACGTACAGATTATTCTTCTTATTTTTCAAAAGAAGCGCAAGACGTAGAAGAAGAAGAAGAAGGAAAATATGAACGCTAGCAACAATAATCAACACAACAACAAGAGCGACAAGAAAAAGCATCATCGGCCAAGTGGCTGTGTGACAACAACAGCAACAAAGCAGCAGCAGTGGCAGTGGCTGAATCAGAAAAGAAGAATGAGCAAAAAAAAGCTACCCGAGATGAACATGATGTGAAATGAACGACAACGACGCGCATAAGAATTACGAACGACACTAGAAATAGAGGATAAAAAGATCTCTTTCGTTCTGTGTCCATTTCCATAGTCGATTCCACAATTCACATTCACACAAATACACGTCGTAGTCGTCGTAGTCGTCGCACGAATACGTACTTTTTTTTTTCTTCTCTTCGGTTGGTTCTCTTTTCGCATTCGAAATCGGGCCGGCAAAGACAGAGAGAAAGAAAAAGTAGAGCTTAAAATATTGCTATAAACTATGGTTTATGAATATAAATGCTTATATATTTTATCGCTTGTATCCACTTAAATATTATAGCTCTATCTCCTGCATTCGAGTACATAGACCATCGGTGTAAACGAAACAATGAATACTTGAGCAAACAAAACGAAAGAGAGAGAGAGAGAGAGAGAAAGAGAGAGAAATGAACGGGCGAGAGCATGCGAGAGGTGGACAAAAGTTGACGGCGAAGGGAAAAAAACAACGACATGAAGAAAATCGAATGCGGACGAGGACGACAACGACAACGACGACGACGATGGAATGAAAATGGCAACAAAAAGCTAGAAAAGGTCTATGTACAGCAACAGCAGCAGCAGTAGGTATAATCTTTATGATTGTCATCGTGTAGCACATCTATGTGTGTTGTATGAATATGTGCTTATCGATACATGTTGTGTTCGCTCCCGTTTGCGTTCGCATTCGCTTCTCTTTCGTTCCCGCTGCCGTTCTCTCGCTCTTGTCCGCACTGTGTTATCGTCCGTAGGTGAAATTTTTATGTATTTATGTAAAACTGGGGGGCAATGCAATCCAAAATAAAAATACCAGCCAAAAACGATGGAAAAAAAACGGAAAATCGTCTCTCTCTCTCTCTCTCTCCACATAGCACCAATGCTATAGATAAAAAGGCTTAGCAACGTACGCGCATGCTCTTCAACCAATTTAAATGCGACTTGGTAGTTTTTTTCTGGTTCCTTCTTCTTCTTTTAAGGATTATTCTTTGCCAATATATGGATGCTACATATTGTGTATGAAAGGAAGTGTCTCTTTTTCTCAATAAACCATATCCATGCATACAATTTTTCTATAAAATGTATTCAACATTCTCGCTCCATCTCATTCTCTTGGTCTCCCCAAAATCTCTCGAAAGATGTATCGTTCTCACCAGAGAGAGAGAAAGAGCGAAAAACGTATCAAAAATATGTTACATTCCGTTATTCTCGTACCATTTTTCGTGTGCTTTTTTATACTATTTTTCCGTTGGTTGTTTCGTTCGCATTGTTTTTCATTTCGATGGATACGCTTCGTTCATGTACAATGACCTGATATAAAAATTCGATAGCATTTTTCACAAAAATAAACGCAGAGATATTGCTAACACACAAAAACTCGACCGCCTTTTTTTCTACGCTCTCTCGCTCTCTCTCTCTCTCTCTCTCATTCAGTTTTCCAATTTTTCGCCATCTGACATGACGTACGAACGAAAAAATTATGATAAATGCGAATTTAGATCCGCTCGAAAATTTCCAAAGAGGAACTATTAAAATCTATCGCTTCGAACAAGCGAATAGAGCGAGAAAACAAAAAACTCATACAATAAATTATAATTTCAATAAATCTTGTGAAAATTCGTTCACATTTTTCGCGCACAATGAGAGCTAGCTGAAATGGTGTGATCACAAGTTCTTATCATAGAGATGCTTTCGATGAAGACACTTATGAATTTATGCACATAGACAACTTCAACGAATTATGTAAATGCCATCGCGTTCTCCACATCCTCAATCGAAAAGCCAGACATTCATCATTATTCCTAATCAATTCGAATGCTTGAGGGTGCAAATGGCAACGTCAAATTCTGATTATATTTTCCTGCATTGACAACGACTAAGACCAAACAGCGAGACGAAGATGATGATGACAACAACGACCGATCCAAATAATTATCGACCGACCGACCGACCGAAGCGTGCGAAAGAAACGAAAAACTGACACCGCAACGATAAATACGTATATACGCACAAATTGTAGCGATTAAATGTACATTGTCCTCATTGTGTGCATTGAGGGTTTGTTTTTCTCTTTTCATGTGAACCGTTTTGGGTATGCTTGGCTATTGTCTTGGCTTTTTGCTTGATTGTTTGTTTGCATGTGAATGCGAATGTGAAAGCGAGAGAAAGATAGAGAAAAGCCATGCATCACAAGCCCAGAGACACCCCGATCTATGTGCCGAAAATACAAAATCATAGGAAAATTGTGAAAAACGTTAAAAAAAAAGATCAAAATAGCAGCTAGACTGGGCCAGCGACGCATACACAATATCCGTCCATAAATTCTAATGAATTTTTCGCAAGGCAACGACAACGACGACGACGATGAAAAAAGCGCCCAAACGAAACGAAAACAAATCATTTGCAACACACATAATTCATATTTTAGTTTATATATGCGGAGGATTTCATGGCGTAAGCATGTGTTGCGCGCATACTGTGTGTCTGTCGGTGTCTGTGTGTGTATATATATATCTCAGGGAGACGGTGGAGCGTACGAGAGTCGCGCTGCACATCAACATAATTGCTGTGCAATAATATTCCGTAATAATGTTCAAGTTGGTTGTTTGTTGTTATTGTGGTTGCTGCCATTAAATTCGCACTCAAAGCACACTGAAACACTCGCTCCCTTCGTCGCCCCGAATCAAGACGACGAACTAAGAAGATGAACGATGCTGCTGCTGCTGCTGCATCAGCGGCAGCCGTGGTGGTTGCTGATTGTATTTGCACAGCAATTATATTCTAGCGAGAGAAAGAGAATCTCAAAAATATAAAACAAGTGTCGCAAGCACAAGAGAGGACAGAGAGAGGAAAAATTTGCACTGAGCACACGCACCACGCGAGGAAGAGAGAGAGAGAGAGAGAGAGAGAGAGAGCACGCAACTCAAAAAAGGGCACCGTAGTGAAATTATTAACGATTCAAATAAAGTAGCGACAAAACATTTCACAAAAGATAGGTGCTATTTAACATAACCGCGCACATTATAACGCGCCTATCGTAAAACAATATTCTGATTGGATGCACATAAAGGGCCCCACCAACGTCTCTTTGGCTACCAACACAACGGCAACAGCGAAACAAATGGGCAACACACAACGCACACAACAATATGCTCCACATACACGCGTGGCACGTTTGTGTGGCCGGACGGACCAAAGTTGAAGTAGCAAACACAACTACATGCTCGCTCGTTCGTTCGCGCGATATCTACGCTCGCGAAGCACATGAGACAGTTTGCGTAGAGTATTCGTATACACAAGTGTGTATATATGTCTTGTTTTCCACTTTGCTTTGCCTTTTCTTACGTTCGGTTCGCTTTCGACGGCACAGCGATTTAGCGGCGAATTCACACACTATAATACATGCCAAACAAACGAATCCAATGAAACGATACACAGCCAAGAGAGATACAGAAGAAGAAGAGAAGAAAAAAACACACAACATAACACAACACGCGGCTTATACACAAAAACGGCGACACCGAACCACCAATTCCACTTGAGTCAGTACCATTTCACATTTTAAACGAGGCGAACGTCGTTTTTTATTGTTGCACGCGCTTATTTAATTTTTTCTTTTACATTAATAACAAAAACCATTTTCCAAATTCATTTCACACATTCATGCACCCAATCGACATTCTATCTATTCTGTTTTAAATTGTCGTCTATCCGGAGCGCAGTCCAACGACACTGTAATCAATAAATATGTCTTATTCAATGTGCGACGGTGTTAAACGTTCCCATGTTTAATTCTCATTGGATTCGATTTGTGCGGGAAAAATCACGTGCAAAATATTTCGGTGCTTAAATCTCGATTACTCGAAATTATGGATTATTAATTGCGGACAGTTTTCACGAAACGACTAGTGAAGTTTTTGAAGAACTTCAGTGACAATGATTCATTCAAAGATTGATGCAATCCGATTAACTCGCAAATGTGTTTAATGGATACAGTTTTTAAGTTTTTTTTTTTATACGAATTTAATTTTGAGTGAATTTTGAAAATTTACTTGTGAAAAGTTCCTGACATTTTTCAAATATGCATGTGGAGTTCAAGTGTGAAAATCAAAAACATTCGCTTTGAAACGACTTTTTTGTGGGGATTTTGATTCTAAGTGGCATATTTACATTCAACTGATCGGAAACATTGAACGGTATTTTTGTCAGCTAGACAGAAGGAGCATATTTTGGCATAACGGGAACACAAGGTATTACTTCAAGTGGAAAACGTCACTTTTTTATGTCGTTTGTGTAGCACTTTTGTTTGTTTTATTTACAAAAAAAAAATATTGTTTAGAAAATGAATCAAAGTCAAAGTTGAATTGAATCGACTCGATTGGGTGAGATGTACTATTTATTTAAAGTTTATTCGTTTCTTGAGTTTAAAAACTTTTAAGTTCACACATGTGTTTAATTGAACAACGTCAAAAATGTACACATCGAAATCAAAAAATACCTCAATTTAAAAAAACAGATTGAAAAAAGGGTTTTTATTGATAGAAAAACAAGGCTTTTCCTTTGCAGTGTGAGTACTACATTCTTGCACTTGCTTAAGAAGGAAAAAAGGAGTCGATGTTCTTGGTGTGCGTCAATTTCATTGAACTCTTGATTGAGCGATTTGTTCACCGACCTGGTGTTCGCACGAAAAGTGAATACGGAAAGCCTGGAAGGTGTTTGAATAATAAACAGAGAGCGAGTTAAAAGCAGCAACAATTTCACTGACTATCAGTCGCAACAATATAGATTTATCAGCAGTTACAGAAAGAGCGAGAGAGAGGAAGAGAGCTAAAGAAAAAAAAATTGGTTCATCGCACACGTAAAACGACTCAAAGTCGATACATACATGACCGAAAAAAAAAGACAGAAAAGAATCACTGGCAGCGATTCTTCTATTTGCTTAGTATGTTTGCTAAGCGCAAAGTGTTGAATGATAAGAAACGAATAAGTCAACTTCAGCGAAATGAGCTATTGACGATATTGTGTCACGACGACAAAAATTGAGCCAGCTAAATATTTATGCACCAAATGTAAAAATGATGTTCGATTCGATAGGCAAACGCGTCAAAACGAGGCCAATAAAATGGGAATGAGTATATTATCGATTTATGAAATTGGCGACGATAGAAAAAAAAGCGCACATTGCATTGCTTATTGATTTAAATTATAGTTTGTTTTCTCCCGCCGTAACCGATGACGAAAAGAGCAATAAAAAAAACCGCTCGTTCTTTTTTCATAATTTGCTGTCGTTCATTAGTCTATTGTTGTTGGTTGTTGTTTGAATTCCTGGTAAAATGACGAATGCGTAATGTATTCACGAGCCTCTTGAGTTTATGACTCGTGGAAAATAAAAGTACCTGTCTTGCATGCGTCGCGCTTATTTTAAATACGAACTTATCAAAGCTCAATTCAATTGATTATGTTGCGACAAAGTACTTGATTGTGTCCGATTCATTGCTTGCTCGCTTGCTTATTCGCGCGCGACTCATTCACTTGCTGACGAAATCCATCTAGAACCATTCCATGATCACATTCGTCAATATGCGCATTACTTCAAATACAACACTGAATCGTCTTTATTGATTTATAAATACAAAATTGGAATGAGTGTTCCACATTCGAAATCGAAAACGATTGTTCAAAACAAAATTCGATTTAATGCCGTAAAATCGGCATTAAAATCAAATGTTCATAATCATATTTACACCTTGCTCCGAATTGTTGCTTCGTTTCCTTATCTCTGGTGTTGAAATCGCTTGCTTTCCCATTCTTTTTTTTTCATTGAAATGAACAAATAATATCGATGACAAGTCGACTTAATATCAATTTTATTCCGCTGAAATGTAGTTGATTGTAAAATGGTGACCAAATATTCAAATCATTACATCACCGCTATTTCTTTTCGAAGGAATTCTCTTTTCCAATTGCGTAAACCAATTTTTTTTTTCGATTGAAGGATTTGGTGATCATTTTATCTAGCACATGCAATCAAAAGGAAATGAAGAATAAAACAAATTACTAATGACTTATGACGAACGAGTAATGTGTGTGTGTTGAAATTCCTAGATAAATAAACACAACAACAACTTGCTTTGGATTGAACGACTAATTATCGTCTTCCTTGAATAAAATATACATTTATTATCAATATCGAGTTTTTTTTTTGATGAATCGATTATTCCTTATCATTCGAACACGAAGACGACAGATAAAATGCGAAAGAACCAGAAAAAACACTTTTATAACTCTTTGTTATTTCCTTTCTCATTGAGTAAACAGGTGAGCCAATAATGAAATTTCATTTCGAATTTAACTAAATTCAATAGGCAAGTGAATTAAAGCAAAAAAAATGAATCGTCAAGTGTGTCACCATTTGAGATATCACACAATCGTCTCTCTTTGATTACGCTTAATTCTTTTTCGGTTCATTCCCTTTCCAGTGGTTTCATCATCATGATTTCGTTTAATTTAAAATAAATATCAATTCATTCAAAACTGCTGAATTGATCATGGAAAATTCCAAGAAGAAATAAACATCGATTTTAAGCTTTTTGAATGGAAAGGTCCACTTTGAATGAATTTTGTAATTGTGTTGATTTGAAATGTATTCAAAGCTTTTAAATATTTTGAAGGCTTTATAAAGAAAAAAAACCTCTCACAATCGAGAGAGGTTTTTCTTCGAACATGTGCTTTTTCGAAGAAATTGCTCTGTTTCTCAAAGAAAAGTTTATTTAGTTCTATCCAATTGGTATTTACGTAAACGGTTTACGGTAAACTAAAATCTGTAACTTTTTTCCTTAAACTCATTCAATTTCCGGTGAACTTGTCAGTTCCAAGTGTTTGGATGTTGTCAGCTTCGGGCAACCCTTAAATATGACTTCGGGCTGAGTGGTCAGCTGAAACTGAAACATGGAAAATTGATAGCGTGAAAATAACACCGAGAATAATTGCGGAAATCTTGTCAGAATTAGCAAAGTATTCGATGTATTGCAAGATTTTTTCCATGGAAAACTGTCAATGGATTCACTAAAACTGGAAGTTGATGGCATATTCATCACAATCATTGATTCGATACGGAAAATTCTCATAGCAGTTGGCAATGCGATGATATTGAAACAAGCCATAATCAATCTTCAGGTTATTGCATTTGATTTTCTTTCTCTGTACCTTTCTAACTCTTGTTCGCTTACTCACAATCGCATTCTCTAACTCGTTCGTTTGTTCGCTCACTCTTATTCTCCCGGTAATGTTCTGGTCAGTCAGACTGCTTTAGTATTTTCTCGCCGCCTATCATTACACAATTGGCTATTAACCATACGTTATAAATGGCTGAGTGTGCAATTTTATACGTTTCAGTTCCACCATAAAACCATTTTGAGTTGTTGTTAATTAGGTAAATATGTAATATGTTGATTTGCATTTATTTTCACAACTTCTCGCTGTTTAATGGAATAATCGCGCGCGTAAATAAATCGCATTGCGATGCAATACTTCCCTTTCGAAAATAAAAAAAAACTACTGAATTTTTCGTTTGCAGATTATGAGCTAATGCGCGAGCGTCAATCCGAAAACATGCTTGCAATTCACGTGTTTTTTATGCAAATTGCGCATAGAAAAAAGAAACGAAGAAGAAGAATAAGTGAAATATAATAAAATTATAGCAACAAAAAAAAACACGAAAAAAATTCAAATGAATTTTGCAATTATGCATATGCTCATTGTATGATAGTGAAGTGCATGCATGTGTGAATCTTCGTCTTCGATGTTGTTGTGCTTTACATATATCATAACTCATCTTGCATGAATGAATGTGTACATTATCATAGATTGAAGGGTACTTAAAATGCAATTTCGTCTTTACGATGCGTGTGCATGCTAATTCTAATTCCGAAATTCATCATTCATATCTATATTTTAGTGAGCGCGCTCTCTCTCTCTCTCTCTCATACTGTTCGCACAGATACGATTTTAATCGAATGCATTTTGTAATTTGCATTGATCATTATCGTGCACTGTGTGTTAACTAATATTTGCATGTAATTCGCTCAGCAGTGTGCTGTTGCTACTGCTGTCTGATCTATATATGAATTCACAGTCAGTAGAGTAATCTATGCAAATTCACTCTGCTCGGCTCGGCTCGTTTCACTTTGCATTGATTACTCTACTGACTGTGAATTCATATATAGATCAGACAGCAGTAGCAACAGCACACTGCTGAGCGAATTACATGCAAATATTAGTTAACACACAGTGCACGATAATGATCAATGCAAAGTGAAACGAGCCGAGCCGAGCAGAGTGAATTTGCATAGGCGTGAAATGTGTAGAGCATCGAGCGAATATCAATGATTGACAGACATTTGAATATTCATTAATTTGGGGCCTGGAAAGGAAAAATTCCAACACAACACAACCAAAATTACCGTATATACTTCGCTCCATATGATCATTACAAAAGCATTATGAAGTGAGTTTTCATGCCGATTGCAAACGATTGCATGATTTATCCGTGCGATTTGTTTGTGCGAAAAGCCTTAATGAAATTAAACAATTTGTGTGCCGTGTGCCTCTTTCTCGTGCTCTGGATGGATGAATTAGAGAAAACATGTTTACGCATTGTATATACAGTGGATGCGTGCGCGTCTAAGTGACGAAACCAGAAAGACATACCCACTGGCTGCCCAGTTGATGTGTGCAAATCAACTAAATTGGACAGACCGATCTGCTTTAAACACTTTTGCGATATGCACAAGCCCCAAATCAAAGCAGATAGAGAAATGAGCGTGCATCTAACGAGTGAAGAGTGCGAGAGAGTGGAAGGAAACATCACACATATATATATCGAATAAATTTACGCAGTGTGCGTGCAATTGCCACTGTACTGTTCACGGCATGGTCGCCGTTGTCTGTGTGCCATATCGTATGAGCAATGCCATGCCATAATGCAATTGAATGTTCATTAAAACCTACAAATTAAAGCCATGCTAATGCATATGCAAGACGCTTTTGGTGTATCGTCTTGTGTACGGTACGCGCGCGCTAATTTTGCTGTCTTTTTCGCTATTTCTCGCTCGCTCTTTAGGCCTCTCTTGTGCTCTGCTTTAAAAATCTAAATGTGCGTTTTTTCAGCACATAAATCGCATGATATTTTATAATAAAATTAAATCAGTTATGCCTTTTTGCCTATTGCTGGTGGTGCGATGCGGTTGTTGGTCGATCAGTGTCTTGATGAGCGCGCACGCGCACAAAACCAGCGCCAGCAAAACTACAAAACATTCAAATTGATTTGCGAAAAATAAAAAATCAAACCGAATCAAAGCACATAAAAATTTATTAAAATATACACACACACACACACACATAATTGGCTGAAAATGAATGCATGATAAATGAAACAATGTTCATACATTGGCATAGAAATAGTGTGGTTAATACGGTTTTAATCCGTAATCTAGATCCAATGTTTGCTATTGGATTTTTCAATTTCATTCATTTATTTATTTTTCCTAACATTTTTTAACTTAATTACACATATTTGGGTGCTCAATGAGAATTGCCTCGTGGCTTGTCTATATTCACAATTCGTGCGTTTTGCGAATGTGCACGGAACAAAAACAAGCTGCTGCTGCTACTGCTGGTGCTCTGATATGTTTGAAGAAGAGAAACCCAAATGTGTGTGTGCTGCAACACTTTGTCGATAATTGTTTTAATTTTCAGTTTTTGATAGGTATACGTATAGTATATGTACGTACGCCTATTGATTATGCAATGAAGACGTTATATTCATACGAAAAAGAAATTACGCTAATCGGCAATCGGGCCGGGCAACAACATGAGCGAGTATATATTGCTTGTGTGCTCGCACGAGCTCGAAAAGAAAGCCGCGTGAAAATTAATTATTATCCATTTGTAGTGTGTGTTTTTTTTTTCGTTCGCATTAGTTTATTGGATGGATTAGCATAATTTGATTGCAAATACCGATTTCTAGTTGTACATTTGTTTCAAATTATCGTGTTCAACGAAATATTTCGCCCACAAGCCAATTCAATTCATATGTGTTGTTGCTCCGTTCAATTTTACAATTCATAGAATTTTCAAAAGCCAGAATTATTTATTCTATTTCAATTGTTGTTGTGTTGGTTCAAATCTCGGTATATTTGTTTCATTTTTTGGAATGTGTACTTTTCATTTGATCAAATAATTACGTTATAATTATTCGTTTCAGACGCACCAGGCCATTCGAAAGATTCTGAAAAAGCTCTGTGTGCAAGAGTCCGTTGCTCACGGCTTCAAGAAAATTCAATCGCTTCATTTGGCTAATGAGAGAATTTCTTGCTCTAAAATTTCATCGCCCAATGGAAATGAATTTGTTTTGATGTGTAGAAAACAAAAATATGCCATTGAACATTCAAGCTAATCAGATAGTTGCGCCGTGATTGATAGCTTATGATTTGCCGAAGTTAACACGGGAATAAATACGCACACGCGGAGAAACCAGAACCAAAACCACATTACAGCCAAAAGTAATCATCAAATCCACGCTTGCAAGGAGATAAAAGACTCATTGAAGCGAACCACTTACAAGCAGAAAAAAAAACGAGGTGTTAACAGACATTTTTAACAGTCAAAGTGACTGAAAGAGTTGAAAGAGAGAGAGAAAAAACAAAGCAACGAAATAAACCGGAAAATTTAACGAAAATCTGATTGTTATTGAAGCTCTGCTGCTACAACCGAAAACACAATTTTATTCTTTTTGTTCGTTGCTCCTCTTGTTGTTGTCCGAAGAGTTAACTGTGCTAAATAAAGACATCGGAACGCTGCGATTGTTTTGTTTTTCTTGTCAGCAAGAGCGAGAGAAAGACTAGAGGAGAAAAGACAAGACATTCCATTGGGAGTGCACGGTGTGTGACATTATGCCGTTGTTGGTAGCACAAAGAAATACACACCAAGGAGTAGCGGTATTAGATCGTTGCCATCGTGCCACTAGTAACAAACTATTATTGGAACATCAACAACCGCTCGATTTTACTATGTCCAAATACAAACCAACGTCGCGTCATCAATTGTATCGTCAAATTTATAGCGCCGAAGATTCATTGCAATACGATCAAAAATTGCACGAAGATCAAGGTAAGTGTCATTGGCTCTCGTTGGTTACATTTATTTTTCTCTTTCGTCAATTGGAATATTTTTTTGTCAAATCTATTCTATTTATTTTTACTATCTTTTTGTGGTCATGGTCGCACTTTTCTAAACCCTGTTTTTCGACGAGGTTCAAATCACTATTTTCAATGGCAAAACACAAATCACTGCTGTGATGCTCAAACATTTATTGGCATATTAAAAATGTATTTTCCAACAAAAAAAAAGAGAGAAGAAGACATCGTCAAGGTACCTAATTTTGTTTGTCGCTTTTTATTCACTGCCGTTTTGCCGGTATGTGCGGTTGTCATCACCATAGACATTTAAGTCCATGGCACATAGTGTATGCAATCTGTTGCTCATTGTGCGCTAAATGCGGCGTGTGCCGGGTTACAACGTGTGCCATCCGAAAAGAATTATATGTGTTTAAATGTATGACATAATATACCGACAAAAGGCGTTTAGTGAAGGAAAAATTTAGGGTTAAGTATATCAATCGATCAGAGAGATAAATATCATGGAAACGCATGTATCCAGGAAAAGAAAAACGAGCGTGCACACATAATAACAACAACAGAATACAGACGGAAGACAGTAGAGTGTGTATTTCATACACTTCCCAAAAGACGATGACAAAGACAACCCTTTTTTATTCTTCCCAAACGTTTTTTTTTTGTTATTCACTCTCCACAACTCTCTAAGGAACTACGCATTATAAAAAAAAAATCTAAAGGGTACATATATTAAAGTAATGCGTCGTTTTTTTTATTAGCATTTAGTGTTGTGCTCATCATCAACACGTCGTTTAGAAGAATTCATTTGGCAATTTTTTTTTCTCCTTATGCTTCCTTCGTTTTTTTTCCTCTTTTCGCCCCACTCTTTCGTTCGTATGAAAATGTAATTGTAGGTTTCCAAACTGTGATTACTGCACTTAATTTAGATATCAAGCATATGGTTGTTTTTCGGCGGTTGAACAAGTCGATGAAGACGACGACGACGACGTCGGCAGAGAAAAAAAATGCGATAGGGTTGCGTTTGATCCGAAACAAATAACGAGCTAGGCCGTTGTTTTGTCGGTGGGGACGATGCAAATAATAACAAGGAACAATCATTTTACACAAAGTTACACACACGAATCATCTATCAATTATTAATTTGGGATGATTATTTACATGTCTTGTTCTTTTTCAAATCGCTTTCAATATCCGGGGAAAATTACCCATTGATTTCGACCGGGCTTGCATCTTCACTTCTGTCTCCTTCTATTATGAATGTATTGTTATGTTCGGTTTGAAACACGTCCGTTGTTTATTTGTTTCGCTTTCGTTATTAATCTCGTGCATTGGACGGAGTCTTGTGCGCGGTCACACGAATTAAGCAAATTTTTAATGAAAACACACCGGTGCATCATTCGGACAAGGAAGACAACGACGACGACGATGATGAACGAAATGGAACATGCAAAATACGATCACGGGCCCTAAACCGAAACACAAAATCCAATCTAATTTGATGTAACAACTTGCGATGGACACGAGAGATATTATTATGGTTTATTATAAATTGTGATGCAAAAATTATATCGATGGCAATTTCCAGTTAAAAGTTGTGGCCTCTCTCTCTCTCTCTTTCACTCTCGATGTGTATTAACATACACCCAATTGGGCCGGAATCGATATATGTCGAGGCTGGATTACGATTGTTGGTGTATTCGGTCGCTGTCTGTGTGTGATTAACGTCGTGTCGATTCAAAACAGAGTTCATTTGCTCTCTCTCTCTCGCGAGCGCGAGATCACAAAAGAAATCGAGACACGGTGCAGTTCTAATTTTTGTTTTTATTTTGCCATGCATATTCCGTGCACCGTACCTGAAAATTATATTATAAATTTATCGAAGATAATGAATAGTTGATTCATTTTCATATCGAGAACGTATTTTCCATACTTATGCAGAAATATGGCAGCAGACAGTACACACGGTGTCCATGGCTAAGACAGTCACAGTGCAACTGTTGCAGTGCTCGCTCTCGATCTCTGCACCACAATATGTGTGTGCAACATCACATTTATCATATCGAAAATGTGTATTAAAAAAAAACAGAATGTATATTTTCGCGTATGCGAATATATTCCCTTCCTGTAAATATGTGAATATGAACGAGATGCGCGCGATGATCGTGTATAATTTTCGTGTTTGATTCGCGCGGTGCGGTTCGGGTTCATTCATATCGATTCGGAGTGTGTGGTGTTCGTTGTTGTATGGAAATGAAATCTGTGCGGAGAGCGAGCGAGAGAAAGAGAGATAGTAACATCAGCTTCGTCGTCATCATCATCATCATCTACGATTTTCATTTTAATTGGTATTTTAACGTTTGGCCAAACGCTCTTTCTCCATCGCTCCAGCTCTTCTTCCCAACGAAATAATAAGCAAACAGGCGGTGACGGCAGCCAATATGCAAGTACGTGCACAGTGCGAGAACCGAATATTTTTGCATACAGCATACCATAACACTACCGAATCACGGAGGGAGCAAAACATGAGAGCGAATAATATGACAACGTGCTCGATGTGCTCGGATTGTTTTGGCCGTTGTTGCTGTTGAATTTGGTGCTGGTCAGTCTCTCTCTCTCTCTCTCTCTCGGCCGTAACTACATAAATATTACCAATTTGGTCTTCCGTGTGGTTCCAACTCTCTTCCTTTTTGTTAAATTCTCGACCAAAAACGATTGCCATTCTATTATCATGACGTGCATTATCCGTATCACAACGGCGCATATTGCAACGTTCGACGACGAATGCCGATTTCTTGGTCTTCATCTCTTTTGCTTGAGTTGTTCGCTCTCTCTCTCTCTGTCCATTTCTCTCTCTTCGAGAGTCGTTACTTCGTTCGTCGCGAGCGTGAATTGTTTCCGATATCAGCGCAATGCGCGCAAAAGGAATAAAACAATAAGCAAAATCCACATTATAATACCCCATAATATGTAATAACAAAATTTATAGGCGTTTGTAATACATTTAGCAATTTTGCATAAGATCCCATTTAACTTCATCGTTTTCATATTTTTTCTTCGCTCTCTGTATCGTCTTCGTGTGCTGCTGCACACTTTGAGTGTTTGCTAGTGCAGTCATTGCTTGTGCTAGTCAATTTAAATACAATGCCAAAACATGAATACAACAACAAAATCAACACTAGAACCGTTTGCTCAATGCACACACACTCTGCGTCACTCGGTGTGTCTCTTACTCTCCGCTCTTTTTTGATATAATATGCATTATAAATTTGAGCATATTTTCTCTCTTCCAACTTCTGATGATGATATTCGTTGTTGTTGTTTTTCTTTTGCTGCATTTGGTTTTACTCTTTCACACCACGAACTTCATTGATGCGACTGGTTGTGAATCGAACGATGAGCCTAGCAGAGAAAAAAAAATACAAAACGTTGTGAGAGTGAGGAACAACTCTGCAAACAGTGCAAAAAACAAAAACCAAAAACACGTGAAAAATAATAAGAGGCGAGCGCGCGAGCGATATACGTGAAATGCACTGTACATTGCATTTCATGTAATATTCGCGCGCGCAAAACTCCAACGTTCCAATATAGTATATATATATATATATATATATATCGCTTATCTTGTAATTGGATTAATGAAAATTCGTGAGGTCGTTTCTTGTGTAAGATACTGATTTTCTTATATTTTGTTCATTCTCTCGTGATTCTGATTGTTGTTGCGTTTGTTGCTGTTATTGTTGTTGTTGTTGTTGCTGCTGGTACGCGATCATCATCCGTTTGGGTCCAATTCATTTGTGGGTATTACACGAGTACTTCATCTTCTTCGGTGACTGTGGAAGATCCTGGTCTCTCTCTCTCACACACTCGCGAGCACTTCATGGCACAGTGGAATA